TCTGTTAACACTCTAAACATGTTCTCCCCTTAACTAAGTGTTAGTGATACCCGCCTCCCCCTCTCCTTCTCTCTTTTGGGATGCAGAGACTCAGACTCTGCCTGCCGGTGGTGATGATAAGACACATGATAATGGACAAAGGGGTCCATGAGGATATGATGTTAGCGCACTGAGCCCCCCTCAGAAACACTCGCAGAGCTCAACTTGAGATAATCTGGTGGACAGTGGGGAGGCTAATGGCTGAGGATCTGTCTCACACACTCGCACGTCCCAGAGGAAGCTGCATTCAATGGAAAAGAGTGTGACCTGTGACCCATGGTGATGAAAGAACGCTGTTGACAGATATAGTATACCTGTGAGAGTCCTCAGTGTTTGGCTTGTCTGCGGGGGGTTTTTGTTCCTGGACCGCAGCCTGGACCAATTCACACGTCCTTATACTGGTATAAATTGTGCGCCATCGCTTCTCCGTCAGAATGGATACAAACAACTCTGCCCTTTAGAAAAACATATATTCACACTTCTATGAACTGCACATCTACACACATGGAGGCATAATGCAAGCGGCACATCTACACAATGATCTCAGTGTGTGTGTGTGTCTCTCACAGGGCTACATTTTCTCTCAGGGTAGAGTGTAAGAAGGAGGGGCAGATGGGGTAGTGGTGCTGTGAGTGTAACCAGAGATGCCTTAGGAATGCAGGGGGTGTTTTTGGAGGACTGGAGTGGAGTATATGGGGGGGCGGGGGGGGGGGGGGCCTCAATGGGTAGGATGGGTGATTAGGGGGTGACAGCTGAGTGCTGACCCTTCTATAATGACAAATCATCTGGCAGGTGTGTGGCTCTCCAACCCTCCTCCCCACCCTTCCCTCCTCAAGCCCCATCGTTTCCCGGCCAGAAATCCTCCACTGCTGCCGGAGCGGAGCGCTAAAGGAAGACTTCCGGACATCCACACTGCCGCCCTGCAGCCTCATGACCAGCCTTGTAGAAGTATGGGGCAGCCTCTGTTCAGATATAGCCTGCCCTGTGCTTGTCAGCTGCCCTCTATGTGCACTCAACACTCCAGTATAAGCTCCTGTGCTTTAATAAACATAGCTAATGAGACCTCAGTCCTTGGAGCCTCAGGTAGCATTGGTTTTATTGATTTGTCTTTGTAGATGTCATTTTTTTCTGACTCGTGTTGACTTAACAGAACAACACTTTGTCTCCTCAACTGCATGAAAGACAGCGTACCCTGTTTTGTCCATGAATCATGCTGACGACAAGCTGAATCCAAACACCCTCTGATCTTTTGAAGTAAAAACAAAAGCTGACCCTGGATCAGTGAGAGGGCTCTGAAAGCAGACAGGTGCTAATCTAAGGCCCGCTCACAAGTCAGTGCTTTGAAGCCAAAAGGAAGAAAAAAAAAAAACAACTTCAGATATTATGAATTCTCCTCAAACTTTCAGATTTTGTTCCATGTTTTCTGTTCCATTTTCAGATTGTGTTTATCTTCTTTGTGTGCAAGAACACACGTTACAAACAGTATTTCTACAGTGAGCGTTGTTTGAGACAGATTCCAGTATTGTATTGGTCAGCTCTGTTTTTTATTTTGATTATGTATCTTCTTTCTTTAATAGCTGTTGTAGCATTACAGGCCTCTTTTCTTTTCCATCAAGCTTCCACATCAAGCTTCCACATCTTCTCTTAATCCAATTCCAGCCAACACATGGAGTCTAGACAGGAGACCCAACACAGCCTGCACCTCACTCTGATATCTGCTGTTTTCCCTCCAGAGCCCCGACCTCTCGGCTATATCCAATAAGAACCCAAACACCCTTTTTTTTTTCCGCTGCAGCATCGTTGATCCAAACACAGAGGAGCCGCACATTCTCTGCTGGAAATCACGCAGAACCATCCTGAACATTTCCCCACTTATCTTTTCACTTTGAATTAAGGATGGGGCTGTGCTGTGATTTCCAGGCAGCGGTAGCAGGGAATACTTTCATAGTCCTGTCAGGAAAATCTCTGAGTGTTATTAGCATTAGCAGGAGACATTGCCCAGTTATTCATAGTTCCAGACCCAAGTGGAAAAATGTTGTTTGCTTTGAAAAGGTTTGATCCAGCTGCACATGGCTGAAAAGAATGGGGATTTTTTTTTTGCTTTGTAAAAAAAAAAAAAAAAAAAAGATTCTGAATCTTATCATCATGTTGTTTTTACTCCAAGTGAATATGAATTATTCATGCCAATTGATTTGGTGAAAAAAGTTAAAACAAATCTGCAAAAAGCATCCTTCCTATATCACTCCTTAGTGTGTATACTTATGGAAACCCCCCTGTCATATTTCGTTGTGGCAACGCAGTCTGACTCACACACAGTCATACTGTGTCATTCAGTTGTCTTTATCACCTGTGCTTGTCTTTTCCCACTCCCCCCCCCCACCACCACCACCAAGCAACATAATGGGCCAGTCCAAAGTGACCCATATTTACCCAATAATACGAGGCTTTGAAAAGACCCATATCGAGTTGCAGCTAATGCTCCAGTGGGGCCCGGAGAGTGAAAGATGTTACCGGCCGAAACGGCTTGGGTTTCAGGGCCCCGAGAAACAAAAGGCAGTCCAGTCCTCAGAGAGAAAGGGAGACGGGGGGGTGGGGTGGGGTGCAGTGTGAGTGCACACAGTGTGAAACAGTAGCGTCAGAGGGTCTCGTAGCGTCCGTTTGAGAGTGGCTTGTGTGTTGCATCTTGTTTTATGATTGGAGGAAGTGAAGAAATGGGTTGTTTTTTCAGGAAAGTGTGCCGCACATTTTAACGCATTTCATGTTGCTGCACGTCTTAGTCCACTGTTAATATTTCAGCGTTGTCAAGTACAGTCATGTGAGGAGTTCATCTTTCAGCTTCACCAGCATCCACCCTCGGCCGTGTGTATGTACATGTGTGCAAGCCGGCCTTTTACAGGACGACGCAAATATGGCTGCTGAGTTAATGGAGCAGAACTGAACTAACCTCAGGCGTTAGGGGTGAGCAGAGGTCAGACGGGTTGGTTTAAGAAAAGAGGGTTCGGATGATGATACCCAAAGGTGATTTCACCTCATATCCTCCCTCCTCTCTCTCTCTCTCTCTCTCTCTACTTCCCACCCTCTTCCTCCCCCATCCTCTCCCTCTCCTTCATGTTCTCTCTCTCTCTCTCTCCTCAGGGGCAGGCAGGTATAAAGTTACACAGAGCTCTCAGCTTTCTTGGAAGGAATGACCACATGAGTAGCTTGGGGATTAGATTAGCAGGAAGAGCAGACTTAGCCAGGCTGTAAATAGCCCACTTTTTTCACCATTAAAAAGGCCCCAGTACAATATAATCAATAGATAGCACTCATCTGATGCAGGAAGCCATATGAGAAGACCTCCCTCAAGTGCTCTGAAGGACAGGCTACAGCAGCTTGTGCCTAATGAAGTTATTATTAATCACTGGGCCTGCTGTTTTGAACTTGTGTGTTGTTTCTCTAGTGGCTGATGAGTGGTCTTTGTGTGCAAGACCTGATTGACATCACGTGCCACTCGTCTTTCTACTTTCACTGTCTTTACTGCAAGACAAGTCAAGGTCATGTTTCATTGTCTTGTCTCTCTGTATTTCAAATCACATTCATGTAAGCAAATAAGTTCCGTTTTTCAGTGAAGGTTTCATTGGGCTACGAACACACCATGCTGTAAAATCCTAAAACAATTAATTGCCAAATACAATCTATAATGCGTGTAGTCTGCCCAACACCTCCCCCCCCCCCGCCCATCTCTCATTCATACACACACACATACTTCAACTCTCGATCTCACTGAGCCTCCCCACAGGTGTTGGGTTACTCTGTAAAGCAGCTTGAATGGTCACAGAAATCACAGAGGGCTGTCTGTGCTCTTGATTTTCATCTCACTTTGAAGTTTCCCCGGCTCACAGGAACAGGGGCCACAAAGCCAGACTCGTGTGAGGGCTTTAGGACTATATGATTCCTGCAGGGTGGTGAGGGGGGAGGGGGGGGAGGGGGGGGAGTATTGACAGGCAGAGCTACGTGTTGTCTCAGTTCTTGGAAGATTTTGCTTCTTTCCTTTTTTTTTTCTCCAGTCAAATGCTTTAAAAAAAAAAAACCCAGCACAGATCATGTGTGCTACTTTCCTGTACTCTTTTGATGGCACAAAACAGTGGAGGAAGGATTAGCCGGGTTGGGGGACACAGGTCAGCCCCCCTCTGTACAAACACAAGTCATAAGTAGAGGGGAATCTTTCAATGCAGGGACAAGATGTGGAGACTAAATTAGCAGCTCGAATGTTTTTTCTGTCTGTGCACGACTATGAAAATAAACAGTGACTGTTGGCTTCGCTCGAGAACCTGAAAAGAGGCTTTGGCAGGCTACATCTGTAAGCACTTAAAAAATAAAAGATACCCATAATACTTTAATAGAGCCATGTTGGAGAGGCTTTTAGGCACAAGGTGTTTCAGTGTTAGTGTATGGGTACGTCTGTCTTCATTGATCTCATCAAAGGGCCAAAGGGTCACAGAGAGCCAGAGAAAATAACTTCAAGTGTGGATTTAATGAAGAATAAACTTTCACTCAAGTTACACTCACAGGAACTGCTCTTTAAACCAGCGCTCAGGCTGCCACTCAGTCACTTTATTTACAAAATAGTTCACTGCTGTTCCTGACCAGGGCTCTCTCTGTGTGTTCTCAGGTATCTGAACCACGTGCGGGCTGCCATGCCTCAGGACACAGCTGGAGGATACAACTCAGCTTTGGCTTGTCATCGAGCCCTTCAGGACGCATTCAGTGGCCTGTTCCCTCTGAAACAATGAACACATCCACATCAGACACTGGTGAGAAGTTTGACAAAAAAGGACTGTAAAAGCCCCTGCTGCCACTGGGGAGCAGGCAAATGCCACTAAGGTAGTTCTCTGAATTTGTGTCAGGGTTTGTATGATTTTTATTTTTTTTTATATTTTGTGTTATTTTAACATTCAAATAAATCACAGTGACCAATGAGATGTTTCTGTCTTTACATTTTTATTTTGAAGTGAAACAACTTTCTTTCTGCGAGAAGATGCAAAGACATTAAAAAAAAAAAAGTATGACTTTGTTAAAAAAAAAATCTCAACTTTAATTTTGTTCTTGTATTCCTTACAGTACACGGTTAATATGATCATCACGTTGAACCTGTAGCTTCCTCACATTTCTGTCTTTTTGGTGGTGGTTCACTTGACGACTCTGTGGACAAATAAAATGTGTTTAGAATCAAATACAACTTTATTATCGTTCAAGAGGGAAAATAGTCTTTGGTCCACCTGGCAGTACAAAAAAAAAAAAAACACTTTCAATAACTATTATCTGTTCATGATCATAAACACTTTTAGTGAATTTTCAGAGGAGTGAATGATACTAGAAGATAAAAAGATTCAGAGCTGATGGTTATATTTCTATATCACTTTGACTGACTTTAAGTCTGAAATGCAGAGATCTTCTGTTGAATGTGTTGAAAAGGATTAAAAATCCATCTTTAAGAACTGAGAAAACTATCTGTAGGATAAATAACCTCTAAATGTCTTCATGGCCAAAGGCTTCCTACAGCACACCACAGTTAAGCGTCTCGTACTTAGAGACACCTTGTTGTCTTTTGATGTCTAACTTGAGTTACCACGGTTTAATGAATGAACCCTCACCTGTCTGCTCATGATCACTGCTGAAGAGGACCTCTTTGGGGAGTGTGAATGTCACACACATCATATCCTTGTTTGGTGCTACATTACGCACAAAATGCACTGAACACCGCTCCTCCACAGGGAATCCAAGGCTACTGGACGCCCTCTTCACCACGTCTGTCTCAGGTTCATTATCTTTTGAGAAGCCGTAGCAGTGCACTGTGGGTAGGCTCTCTTCACAGACATGCTCTCTGTGCAACAGGCCCCTGAATGCATCCAGGAATTCCAGAGCCAAGGCGGGCAGGTTCATCACCACGTGGATTACAGCTTTTTTCTTCAGCAGTGCAGGCAGCTCCTGCTTCACAGGTCCCTGGATGAACGCTCGTCCATCAAGGTTGAAGGTTCGGACTTTGCTCTCCACCTTGTTGAGTTTGCAGTTGTGCTGAAGCCATCGGTAGGACTCTGGGTTGAGATCGTTGGCCACCACGTTGGCACCGGAGCGGGCAGCAGGGATGGCAAAGGGACCAACGCCGGCAAACACATCAAACACGGTGTCCCCACGTTTGACGAGCTGCACCACACGCTGATGCTCAGTACTCAGCCTGGGGTTCCAGTACACACGAGAAAAATCAAACTCGTATGCCACCCCGTTTTCTCTCACCTGCAGCACAAAGAGTTTATCCACCATTAATCATGAGAACAAAGGAACCGTTCTAAGTCAGTATCATTAACCTGATGGTTTTTCTACCAGGATTCACGATTAAACCTACTTTGGCGACCATGTTTTCCTCTCCAGCTAGCATCTCCATCTTAAAGTTGCGGTAAGTGGAGTCGATGGTGTTTGTCTTATTGACCACACAGGTGACGCCAGGATTTTTGTCCATGATGACTTGACCTACATTGGAAGCAGCCAAGAAGTCAACAATCAATGTCACTTTGTAACTCTGAAATCCATTATCTGTTCAATTATGCTCCTTAAAATTAGACTAATTAGAACATGAATTAAAAAGGAATAAAATACTTTACATTAATAAAAAAATGGACACAGGAACACATTTTTAAATTTGTAATACAACTGCTGTTGTATTACAAATGTGAAATTTAAACCAAGAACTCTCCTAAGAAGATTTAAAAAAAAAAGAGTGTTTTAGCACAAAACTGGACCGAGGACACTGATAACATGTCAAATCTTTTAAAGGGATTATTTGCCAAATTAAATGTTAATGCCGTGATTTGTCTTCACACTTATGATTCTTGGGGGGGGTCAAAACATTGCTCATGAGGTGTAAAGGGCACAGAAGTGTAAAACCTCGACTCAACTTTGTATCAAACTTCACTTGCAAAATACTGACTTTGACATTTCTCGTTTCAAATAAATAATCGCAAAGCTTCTAACTAATAAAACATATATACAACCAGGTGCAGAATTGAAGGAAGTGTCTCGATAAAATGAGCGTAGAAACATAAATCTGTCACCTATGAGGTTCTTGTAAGGGAGCTGGTGGTCCCTCAGGTTCATGTGTGCGATGTGTCCCACCCTGCTGAAAGAAGAAGTCACATCCTGACCCTGAGGCAGCACAGCCTCCAGCACCTCTTCGCTCTTCAAGTTGTCGTAGGTGAGCCTCAGATCATAGTGCTGCAGCTCCTGAGAGACACTGAAAGACCTCAGAGCCTCGGCCTCGGCCTCACTGAAAGAGGTGGGCGAAGTCACTCTGTGAGGGTCCAACAGGACCAACCGAAAGTCACTACCCTCCTCTTTCTCTTGGAGCACTCTGGGCACTCCAGGGCGCTGGATGGTGGACTTCTTCAGGCTCTTGACCACTTTGTTTAAAACCCGAGTGGGCACCCGTAGAGCAGGGACAGAGATGGTCTGTGTGAAGGCCTCTTTGTCCAGACAGGTCATACCCCGAACATCTGGAGGGGGTCGGTACAGTTTATGCTCCATTGTGGGCTTCAAAACAAAGCCAGGAACCGACGAGGCTGGCGCTGAAGAAGCAGACAAGTGGCTCCGGTGGACAACAGCAGCTTTTAAGTTTCTCTGAGGTTGTACAGATGCAAAGACTCTTATAAGGAGCCTGAAATGACAACAAAGTCTACTGCCGTGAGCCTGAAAAAGTAAATACACATATTCTAACTGTGAATAAGAAATACATCTTACAAAATAGAGGCTGGATACAAAATAATTAACCTTTCTTTATCAGGAAAACTCATTAGTAGAACTCACCTCCACATCCTCCGCTCTCGGGCATGCTTCGTATGCGTCATCAGTGATCGACCAAGAGCCGACTGCTGATTGGTCAGACGAGTGCAGCGTCCGCCTCTGATTGGATAGTATAATTCCCGACGCTTACAAATGCGACGGACGAGAGCAACACGTGACGTGAGTAATCAACAACAACAGCCAGCAGCTGACCGGCTGATTAGAGGAGAGTTTTAAAAAGTGATTATCTGAGCGGATGGGTTCGTAACTTTTGCAGCTTCACGTCGCCACGCTGGCAGGAGTGTTTTTGAAGTCTGACCCGGAGCAGCGGTGGTTTGTTACTTTTAGTTTGTGTCTTTTTTCCTAGAAAATGAGCATCAATGCAGACAAACACACAGACTCATACAGTGAAATAACCGCCGGAGACACAGAACGCGACGAGACTTCACCTTTATTAGGAAATGTAAGTATTAAAGAAAGGACGATGTGTTTTTCAGCTCGTTAACAAGTAAAGTTCCCTTTAAGTTCATGGTCATCACGTGTCCTCTGCTTTCTGCAGATGTCAGCACTCAAATGGGAGTTCTGTCTAAAAGCAGAACTATGTTATTTTCAATGGAATTATTGCAATGAGGATGTATTTATTTTTTTCTGCAGTTGATAATTTATTAGACATATCTCTTTTTGTACTTGCACATTTTACACAAGCTTGATCTTCATAAATCAGTTATGTAATATGTTCTTCTGCCCTAAAATGGCATTTTTGTAGCTCTCTCATACGTATTCACCTTCATTTGAACGGAATTAACTTGCATGTTTGCTTAAATCTAGTCAAATTTAAAGATGTCTTGACAAAGTCCAATGGGAACCAGCTTAAAATGCATTCTATGAGTAAGCAAAATAAATCAATGAGAATTGAATCCATTCAGGATGTTAACATTATTACATCATCATCAGAAATAAACTGACTGGGATACAGATTCAGATTATCTACATCAACAGTAATATGTTTTATGTATGGTTTTTTTCTTCAGCAGGAGCACACAGAATGACACAAGGACAACAAGAGTAAAATCTGATTAAATGTTGGACATGATCAGAGGTGTCAAGTAACTAAGTACAAATACTTCGTTACCTCACTTGAGTAGAATTTTTGGGTATCTATACTTTACTGGAGTAATTATTTTTCAGCAGACTTTTTACTTCTACTCGTTACTTTTTCACGCAATTATCTGTACTTTCTGCTCTTTACATTTTAAAAATAGCCTCAGTACTCCTTTCATTTTGGCTTGTTTTGTTTCCGGCTTGTCATCATTCAAAAAAACAAAAAAACCTATGCAGATAAATTGCGCCATCCGGATAGAGTGAATTTGATTTTGTTTGGATCAGAAGTATAAACGTATACCATTCCAACACCCTATTGGTTTGTACGGATCCATTGCACCTGCACATGACACAAATCACATCACACTAAAGGCAACTAGTTATCATATCTTCCTCTCCATGAAACACATGTTAATGCTCGGTAGTACACATATATGGTTCTTTAATGTATTTGCATTGTACTAAAATGCGTTCATTTTCAATGGGCATAAATGCGGCTGGAACAGGTGCATACAAAATGTTTCAACATTAACATTTTCATATAACATTATAGTCTTCATGGCCTTTAGAAAAATGTTTTTTTGGGGAGGTGGGGTAGTGCACTATAAGCCCCAGTGGCGCGGCCTAAGCTTTTGTCCTTAATGGCATTTTATTTCCTTTGCATTACTTTTACTTTTATACTTTAAGTAGTTTTGAAACCAGTACTTTTACACTTTTACTTGAGTGAAAAGCTTGAGTTGATACTTCAACTTCTACAGAAGTCTTTTTAAACCCTAGTATCTATACTTGTATCTGAGTGATGAATGTGAATACTTTTGACACTTCTGGACATGATACAAATGACTCATTATGTTAGAGGAATATCAACAACAGCTAAAGTACAATGTGGATGGGGATTTTTTTTTTTTCAGAGTTTATTGGTAAATTAGTGCTTAATAAAACAGTATCTTTGCTAAAACTGTCAGGCACATTTCTTGAAAATCTATTTTGGCAATGCCATTGTGTTCTCACATTGTCTTAGAAATGAATCAGGTTTTCAGTAGCTTTGGTATCATATTGTGAAGGTTTTGGATTTAAGTTTGTCTCCACAGATCTAGAACGAAAATAAAATAGTTCGGACATGCAAATCAGTTCAAGGAAGTGTTCAAGAACAGTATATGTTGCGACCTGTACTTCTATTTTTAGGTTAGTTTCTGTCTTAAAAGACCCTCTGAAAAGTTTGGCTCCATGTAGGGTTCATGCAGAGATTTTTGATTACTCTGACCTGCATAGGTGAATGAAAGAAACTCCAGGTCATTGTCTGCTTGATTAATCAGAGCCGTTCTCACACACTCAAAGGAAGTGGATACAGTAGATATAACAATTTACTTCATCAAAGGAGCAATTGTCACATTAAGTGCACTGATTATACCACTTATTGTTAAACATGTACCAAATGACTCATGAAAGGACTGATTATCCTCTATTTTAATGAATCCCCCCCCCCCCTTCCTTGATCAGAAAGCTGCTGATTAATGCCTCCATGATATGAATAGATATACTTCTTAATAGTGTAGTGTACATTTGTTTTTACATACTCTATTGCCAGTCCTTCCACTACTGTGACTCAGGGTGATTCAGATTCAGCAGCTAGCAGGTCAATCCAAGCTTGTTGTGACACTGACACCAGAGTTGCCACTCGTTCTCTCCAGGATATCCCCTATTACAGAGGTCAAGCAGTTTGGGCAGCTCCCCTTATCCTGAGCTCAGGCAGCTGTCCCAGAGCCAGCAGCTCAAATCCCACCCCATCCATTCCCATTCCCTGATCCCGCATGCCAGAGCAGTGTTGCTTCATGACATCCATCATCAGGGCCGACCAGTTGTTCCTAATTCTGTCACGAAAAATTCTGTGCAAGCTCTTACAAAGATAATGAGGTTTCTCCTACTGCTTTATCCTCACATTTATTGTTGACCTCTTTATCTTCTAGCTGAACGTTTTCTCTCCTGTGTATATGCAGGGATCAGTGCAGACCAGAGCTAAAGGAGCCTCCTTCGCCTCCTCTGTGTTTAACCTGATGAATGCCATCATGGGCAGCGGTATACTGGGTCTAGCTTATGCCATGGCTAGCACTGGAATAGTTGGTTTTTGGTAAGAAGGATCTTGTCACACAGTCTATAACAATGCTGTTGGAATAAATTGCTGCCTTTGAATTAAAACAGCGTAAAACCACATGGACATTATTTTCTGTTCTGTTATTCCTCTCCCCTCTAGTATCCTGTTGGTAGTAGTTTCCAGCCTGGCAGCGTACTCTATACATCTCCTTCTGAAGCTATGTGACCAAACAGGTGAGAGACTGACTGTGGATACAGTCTAACTTTAGATAAGCACATTCCTATTCCAGGGGCTTTAATCCCCCTTTTTTGACCGTACACCGTTTTTGTTCTTCATCTAACTAGTGTTTAGATTGGTGTACTGGAAAGCCATCTTAAATGAATGAATGAAATCTTTATTGCCCCTAGAGGAATTTGCCTTTCACAGAAAGCATAGAAAAAATCATCAAGACCACGTTTTCCTGTGTGTCTTTGTTTTCTGTCTTTGTTTATTTCCTAGTTGTCTTTTATTTGGGGGATGTTTCAATGTTGTTGAGAGACATGAAAAAACAGATTAAAATGATGTTCTAGTGGATTGTTTTCTTGTGAATTACCAGCAAAATACTGATACGATTTTTTTTTTTTTTGGGGGGGGATAGGGCCCTCCATTTCTGATTTTATCCTCTTTGAAAGGAACTCCACCTGTTTAACACATAAAGTGTGTTTTCAGGTTTTGAAGTTACCTAGTCAAATGTTTAAGTGGTCTTTTATTGCTACAGAGATTACTGCTAAATCTAATAAAACTGACTCAAGTGATGTCAATTAAGTCAGTGTAGACTGGGGCAGATGACAAAACAAATGTGGGGTGTAGTTAGACAGCAGTGAGCTCACTGTAGCTGCTTCAAGCCACAGACCACATTAGCCTCAACCACCATAACACGCCTAATTCTTGGACTAAACTGTAGGTTGTTGAGTTGTAATGTAGGCAGGCACAGTGTTGTGACAAAAAAGAGGAATGTATGGGGAAAAAGATAACATCTTGTGTTCTTCTGCAGTGCTTTATTAATTTTAAACTTTGCATGGTGGGATTAAATTGGTAAGCCCCTTTATTCAATTGAGAATTTCTGATTGCTTTTGATTTGACTCCCATAGGTATTAACTCGTATGAAGGACTTGGCGAGAGAGCCTTACAAAAACCAGGAAAGGTACGTTTTTGTCTTTTGGATTAGTGTCAAACAAAGAATCAAACCAAATATTCTTCCTAACCGCCTTTTTGAAATTCCTTGTAGGTCCTGGTTGGAATTGCGATTCTCATCCAAAACATTGGTGGTAAGTCAGCTCCCATTTGACTGCACAGTTTCATACATTATTTCTGACATTTTGGACATAAAGTGATTTTGGGGTTTTTACAGAAACAGAGTGGTGAAGAGGTTTCAAAATACAGCAGGGTCAGAAGTTTATTTTGGAGGCTTATAGTGCCTCCTACTGGTGATCAGAAACCTGAACTCGGCTCCTCTCTTCTGTGAGGCTATTATCCAGATTCCCTGATAACCTTTGACTCTGAAGCCGCTGTCCCCTCGGCCCTTTCCCCATGGGCATGAAACCTGACTTCTCATCTAATTGGTCACTGATGGTGAAACCCCCAACCCCACAATTTTCTCTGCCTTTCACTGTCCTTTCAGCCACGCACTGCTCTCGTCATACAGTGCAGAGCTGAGGTGATAGCTCCTCTGCAGTCATTAGCGGCCTGCCTGAGTGGATTACTGCCCTGCCCTCTGGTATGTTTGTGGTTTTCCCAGCATGGGGCAGTATGTGTGAGAGTGTGAGAGCCGGCACTCCGGCATGCATCTGTCTGCACCCTGGGCCCCCCTCCCCTTTTTATAAGAGTACAATTAGCCTCACTCTGGCTAAACATTCATCTGCACTGCCAAAGCCTGATGGGCCAATTGACCT